TTTGTCGTCCACCAGCACACCCAGGTCCCTGTCTGCAAAGCTGCTCTCCAGCAGGTCCACCCCAGCCTGTACTGGTGCATGGGGTTGTTCCTTCCCACACCGACAACTCGCTGGTGCTCTGGACATGAGTCCACTCAGCCGGCTCCCGGAGATGGAAGGGAATAACTGTGTGGCTCACAGGGCCGTACGAACAGTGTTGGAAGACACTGTGGATGGGTGTCTAGGAGTCCCTCATCCTCCACTGGCCCCTAGACTGCAGCGAGGTGATCACCTGTTTCATGAGCCTTTAGAGAAAATGCGCTTTAAAATGGCAAAGACTCAAGGTAACGCATTTTTTGTTACTGACAAGGTTTGAACCAGTCCCAGGGGAGGATCAGACACTGCTCTCCAGGTGTTTTGGCCAGTGCTTCCACCCGTGGTGAAGCTGATCCTGGTATGGATGTCCTTGACTTGACCGCGGCTGGAGGGGACCTACCAAGAGGTGGGAACTCGTGCCTGTACTTGCTGCTAGCTAAGGAATAAAATGAGCTAAAATGTGTAGGAAATGAGGTTTTGTAAGTCACCTTCTCCTGTCTGCGCCAGGCCCTGGGTGGTGGCAGGGTGTTTATCTCCGCACCACGCTGAAGTGTCAGGCTTGGGAAATCAGGACCGGTAGGTCAATAAATCTTTGGGATGCCTGAACCACTTACAGAACTCGCCTCCGCTGTTCGATGAGATAAAGTACGGGTTTATGAGCCACTCTCAGAGGCCCCGGGAAGAGGCCTGGCTCAGAGGTTTTCTGCAGTTATTTCACGACTTTCAAATATTGTAGAAGCTGTCCTTATTTCTCCTCCATTTCCCTCGTGGGGCTGCTCTTACAGTCAGGGGGAGATCCTGGCATTTAATGCACTGAAAGCAAATCCTGGCTCAGGTGAAGCATCTGCTGACTTCAGGAAAGCAAAGACTGCTTTCCTTTGCTTTCCTGCGTAGCAAAGACGACACGATTTAGGCTGTATTTGCAATAAAAGAGTACAACTCGTGGCCTCTCTCCACCTCCCTGACTCCTCCTCTTTCCCCCAGCAGCACCCTCCAGACCATCAAAGGTGTCGAAGGTGGCTCTTGGTGCTGGGGTGTGCAATTTGGTCTCTCCTGGGAGCTGGGACAGACCCCAGAGCAGGGCAGGAGAGGGACCACGCAGCCCCCCAAGGCTGTTTCAAGAAGTGACAGCGGGGTCAACCACCCCGTCCCCTTCTCCACACCGGCACCAGCGCAGCCCACTTCTCTGCTTGGGAAATACTTACCTCCCCCTCCGTTGTTTTTAGGAGCAGCACCGTCGGTTCGTAGCCTTCACAGCGTGTGTAAAACCTGCAGAGATGAACAAGGAGGCTGGGTTGGAGTGGGTCTGAGACCCAGGAGCAGCGTTACGAGGCTGTAAAGGAGAGCAGCACCGTCGGTTCGTAGCCTTCACAGCGTGTGTAAAACCTGCAGAGATGAACAAGGAGGCTGGGTTGGAGTGGGTCTGAGACCCAGGAGCAGCGTTACGAGGCTGTAAAGGAGAGCGGAGAGCGGTGGCGGCTCTTCTGAGCCTATTGCCGTGCCGGCAGCGGCCCGAGGG